TGGCGGTTAGTTTAGTTTCTTACACAAGGTTGGTGGCGTTTTACAAACTTGACCAACCCTCCCTAGGAGCTCCGAAAGGAGCGCCCTGCTCTAGTACTATAAAAATTTGTGATTCCTCGTTGTCGTCAATAAATTACGTCATCAACAATGTGAACTTATGTTTGTTTATATCGGCATTGTTGTGTTCCACAACAATGCCGAGTACAACACAACAATGCCGAGTAAACAAATAATGCTTCACAACAAAAACTATCAAGCCAGTCGCATGATCTCTGCTCCAGAAGCAGCATGTCGCATTATCAAAAATTGACTGACAGTTGGCCTAAAACATCAGGAAAGTGAAAGAAGACGTTATCAACTATTTGAAGTACCAACTCTAACAACTCCAACAAGGTAAACTGATACTCATTCGATATATTACGGTTACGAAAACTATTATGAAAACTGACTTTATGACCGATTTTAAGACGAAGATTTGCAAGGGTGGGGCTGGACATAGAAAGTTGACTGACCAAGAACAGATGACCTCTGAACAGCGACTTAAGGAACTAAAACAAGACCTACTTAACAAATAAAGAAAAGCGAAGGGAGAATTACATTAATAAACGCAGTAATACATATTCAACAAGAACAGAAGAGCAAAAAACAAACGAACGAAGATTTGCAAGGGTGGTGTTGGACGTAGATGGTTGACTGACCAAGAACTGTTGGCCTCTGATTAGCGACGTAAAGAAGTAAAATATCAGATTACAGGAAGCGCTCCGAAAGGATTAGTAGTTGTTGTCGTCAAAAAATGACGTCATCAACAATATCACCTTATATTTGTTTATACACGGCATTGTTGTGGAACAACAATGCCGTGTACACCACAACAATGCCGAGTAAACAGATAACGCTTAGTACCAAGCCAGTCGCATTATCACTGCTCCAGAAGCAGCACATCGCCTCTGAACAGCGACATAAGACTATTTAAGAAATGAAGAAAAGTGAAAGAAGACGTTGCCAACACCAACAAGGTAATCTGATACTAATAATAATATTCATCCAAGTCATACTGATCATTCAAGGGTTAAAACACTTGAATAAGACACTAAATTAACCCACCGAAGGGGGTTAGTTTAGTGTCTTACTGAAGATTTTGAAACGCAACCAACCCCAACAAAGGGGGGTTGGTCAAGTGTTTAAACCCCCCCATTCGGGGGGTTAGTTTAGTTTCTTACTCAGGGATTAAAACACTTGAATGAGACTAAACTAACCCTCAGAAGGGGGGTTGGTCAATTGTTTTAACCCTCAATTTGGGGCGGTTAGTTTAGTTTCTTACACAAGGTTGGTTGCGTTTTACAAACTTGACCAACCCCCCCTAGGAGCTCCGAAAGGAGCGCCCTGCTCTAGTTGACAAAAATTTTCAGTTTAACATGAAACAAGCAACCACTAAAACAAAACCTTACCAAGCTCATGGGTGCAACTGATGGCCAAATGACACGGTTATTGGGGTCATACATGGGGTTGAGGAAAGACTGAAGTACATCGGGCCGATTCAGGTAAGACCACAGGCTGACAGTCCGCTCGGCCAGCTTCATTCTAGTCCTATCTGCTTCACATGTGCCCAGGAATGTGCCTATAAATGTAAATATTTGCTTAAGAAGAGTATGAAGATGGCAAAGGAATCATGCACTTTAACTGAAGAAACTATACTACAGGTGTGAATTTACCAACCAGTGACTTGAGTTCATAATAATGGGTATACAGCTGGCATACCTACACTGATTATTCCATGAAATTTAAATAGTGAAACATAAAATCTACTTGAATAATTTCCCTCGTGTTGGATATAATGTTCACACTATCATGACTTCTTAACTGCAGCCTTGTAAAAACAAGAATCACATGAAGAGACAGAATTAGCCATCAATGCAGATGAGGCTTTAAGACATACACTGTACTCCTTACTGTCCAAAAATGAATGATTTAAAGCAATAAAAAATTTGAGAACATGATTTGAGACTTTACATACTAAGAAGTAAATACAAGATTTTTTAAAACTACATGTCTGCTACCAATTTTGTAAAACAACAGGGATGGGAAAGTTTCTTATAATAAAATAAAAATTAATTTAAATTACTGGAATTAGACAAAAGAGTTATGAGGCTGGTTTGATACAAAACTTATAACATTTGAATTTCATGGTGACTGAACACAATCAAGTTTCCTTGGGAAATCACTCATGTAAGTATGGAGTTTTATCCAATATTTCAGAGACCCTGCCTCAATCATCAAGGATGATACAGGGGTGATCACCCACGAATTCATTTCTGCAGTTTAGAAAATCTTTCCCGATTCTTCTCCACTAAGGAAGTGACAATATTGTTAGGGTAAGGTGATTTGCCAGGTTACGTCCAAGCTGGACTGTATGTGTGATGGTTTTACTATGCACACCCATTTGTTTTCTCATCATAAAGTGATATCACTTAAGAATATTTCTTTTCCTACTGTGAATAACTCTGTCTAACATTCTTATCCTTAAGTTTTTGCGGCTGGAGTTCAATGTGTAATTTCAGCTTTTCGGAATCAGTGACATTGAATGTTGAGGATTATCCAACATTTTGGCAAACACTGCAGAAGTTGTGCATTTTTTTAAGCCTTATACAGGACAGGCAGCAGGTGGAAAGTTTGGCAATTAGATTTGATTATGCTGATTGTTGGAGTGGAGCAGTGGGCTGCTATCCAAAACTAACATTTTTAGATGCAACTACACAACTCTGAATAAAGCAAATAGCCATAAATTAAAATAAAATAAAAAATACAGTCTAAGTCCACCTTGACTTTATATCTGTTAAATATGTACTTATAAAATTCGAATATTATTGAGAGTATTCACAACATTTTAGCAATGAAGCAAGTATGTACTTTTTATGTTTACATTTTTCATGTGCATCTACAACTAAAATTTGCAAAAATTATTTTCCTGTGATCCTTGTCATGTTTGTCTGTCTATCTGCTCTGAAGTACCAATTTGAGAATTACTGAATGGAATTTCATGAGAGCTGATACTTGGGAGTTTTACTAAAATCTGTCAACACATATCAATTGTGGTTCAAATCAGACAACAATAACAGGATGATATATGATTTGAAGCTTTCACGACTATGTAACTCAATAAAATTTTCTTGGGTGATCAGCTGCATCAAATGGTTAAACGATGAAACTGACGTTTCAGGGACCATCTCTGTCCCCATCATCAGAATCCACCTGACACAGCTGATCACCTGAAATTTTTTTATTGAATAACAGGATGGTTTTGCAGTGTCCTCAAATTGTGTGAGAGAGAGAGAAGAAACCAATATAAAGTGAAGCTTTCGCAGTGACTGAAGTTGATGAAAGACTCTCAGGTAACAAGCCGCGTCAGATGGCTGAATGGTGAATGAACCATTTCTTCTGTCAACGTTTCGAGAGCCATCTCTGCTCTCATCCTCAGGGTAGCTGTAAAATGAAACTGGCCCTATGTAGCGCACTGAGTTCCCATCAGCTAGCATGCTACATAGGACCAGTTTCATTTCATAACTGCCCTGAGGATGAGAGCAGAGATAGCTCTTGAAATGTTGGCAAAAGAAATGGTTCATTCACCGTTCAGCCACCTGACGCGGCTTGTTACCTGGGAGTATTTCATAAAAAAAGACAACAACTTACCAAACTGTGAACAGTAGGAATGTTCAAATAGCATGATAAGAAATGAGGTGCTGAACTCGAAGCTGCATGGAAACTGTTGGTGAATCTGTGCCACACAATCAAGGAAAAGGAGGAATGTTGGGGCCTGAGTCTTGCTCCGTCCACTGCCATAGCATGACTTGCGGTGGCGAATGGGAAATGGATATCCTGCCTGCAGCCATTCCCGCTCTACAAGCGCCTCCAGCCTGGCACAGAAGAGAAATGATGTACACTGGACAGCACAAAAAGACAGACTCGAGATCTATTTTACAATTGGCACTGGGTTGAAATGAACCATGAACCAACACAGATTGGAATTAAAATTATGACTTTTACAAAGATCTGACTCATACTTCCATGGTTATCATGACTTCTCACTCAAGTATGGAGAGATGTACCCTGTTTGAAGTTTATATACTGCATATTCCAAATACAGTATTTTGCATGTCTCACTAGCCTTGATGTCATTTACTCATTATTGAAGATAAAAATCTACTACCATTTTAGACAAAATTTTAAAATATAAAAACAATTGGCTTCAACATGTTAACAGAATGCACAGACAGACTTCCCAAATTATTAAAAAACTACACACCATGTGGACGAAGAAACCCTGGAAGACCACAGAAGAGGCTTTTAGACTATGAGGCCAGGATTGGTTAGTAAGACCTAACTACTTGACTGTTCGATGACGATAACAAATCTACTACTGCAAATACAGTCATACTTCAGATATCACAGAGTACAGAATCAGAAATTATTCTTCCTTGTATATAATAAAATATTCATTAATTTTTATATGTAAATACATCTGAATGAAATGTGCACTTTATGTCTTCTCAATGAGCTGGTTTTGAAAAGAAAAGAAAAAATTAAAAAAGTTGGATTTCAGCTTTATACAAATTAGAGTTTATACTGTGCCAGTGTGAATCAAAATTAAATTTGCCTGTTAACTTTTAGTGTAACTCCAAACACTAAATTTCAGCAAAATCTGTTCAATAGTTAAGATGAAACACACATACATACATACATAGACACACAGAGCTAAACAGGACAAAATATCCCTTATATGCAATCTCTTCATGAATTCTGTGCAAAACATGCATAACAACTATCTTTATCATTTTGCTACTGTGTTTATTTAAACACTGCATTTAAAACAAAACAATGAGAATGAAGAATGGGAGTTCTGCTATTATTATGATATTCTTGATATAGGCTATATATCACCATTTCAGTTGTTAAAGACAGTCACTTTATCTGAAGCAAAGTATATTTGTCAATTCAAGTTTATAAGTTAAATTTGTCTACTAAAATAATTCTTTGCATGATGGTTTGTAGTAACCAATAACAGATTTTTAAAGAAACAGTTGTTCATCAGCTGGTGCAATAACTTACCCCCTTACAGTTCTACAGTCAGGATTAAGGATGATTTGTGCTAATGATGTTACCAGCAAAGTAGCATCCAAACCTTCAGAACCATGGACAAGTACTGATGCCCCTTCCTATAAACAGATTCATGTTTTATATTTACTCTTGTTTGTATACAATGGCCAGATTCCAGTCTTAACATTTTCATTCATGAAGTTCCTTGTCATCTTTTGGATCCTTTGCAGTGAGGCTGTTTTATATTTTTAACAATTTAAATAATTTTCTTCCAAATTTCTTTGAATTTCATAGATATTTTCCAGATTCTCAAATTACCTACTTTCACCTTAGATAAACAAAGTTAGAGAACAGGCACACATGTGCATACTTTCTTTGGCCTATGGCTGGATTTTCACCTTCTGAGCCCATAAGCTACATCAATTTAAGAAGCCTCAAAAATCTGAAAAATGAAATATACATTTATTCTGATTAACTAAAACATTAAGAAGTAAACATGTCACTACTGTGAATGAAAGCATTTAATGCACTTGCATTGGTATAAAAATGTAACTGTGTAAAGGTACACATCAAAAATTTATAATGCAATTGTTTTAGGCCCCTCATATTGTGAGGTCCAAAGCTGTAGCTTAGTTAGCATGTGTGTAAGTCTGGTACTAATCTGGCTCACATTTACATGTAAATAAACATGAAAACTTAGTAATGGGTTACATGATTCAAGAATATGAAGTTCAATATGTTATCCTGTCAACTAACACATTGTATCATTTATGTATTGAGAATTGAATGATAAATGATTTAGATAACACTGACTATTCATGTCAGTTGAAGTTGTGACATACCTGATCAAGGCACTGAGCCACCAAACAGGCACAATTGAGTGTGTCCTTTATATGCGACATCCAATTGGATGATTCCAAGCGTGACAGCCATTTCTCCATTGATACAGTTGTGTCATTACAAGCTGAAAAAAAGATAGTGCAACATACAACTCATCTGCAAGCTCATTTTATTCAGGAACTTACCAGAAACTGGGTCAGTTGTTGCACGTTGAATCTATGGCTGTCAACAGATTAACAACTTATTAATAAACTTCTCAAAAACTGCAGTAAAAACATACCTGTACTAAAATCTCAAGTTATGTGGCAGCTTTCTGTTCCAGGGAAGTGTGCACTGACAATTTCTATGAAGGACAGTTCCTTAATGCAATGATATTTATTAAAAAAATGTAACATTTTTGAAAACGTGTGCCATCAGACGCCCTTGCGTATCTGTAACCAATGCTACTTTAATTGAAAAATATGATCTCTTCTAACTGGGCTTCAATGTTTTATATTATAGTTCTTACTGTCAATAGAATTTTAAGAAACAAACAAAAATCAGTACCACAGCAAATTGTATGCTGGTCAAAAATAGTTTAATCCATAACATATGATATTCATCCATAATGCGGACTCAAATACACTATGCAACATTTAAAATGACTCAGGGTTTTAAATTATTTCAGTATTTGGTTGGACCTTTTGGGCTCACCTATAATACCAATACAATGTGAATTACTGATCTGCCTAATAATCTATTGGGAGCAACTTTATCATCACCGTCCCACACATGTATACTTATGCACCATGCAAATACATCCCATACAAAGAGGAATGGTGTAACTGACAGCAGGACATAATTATGATAGGTTGTTGTAACAGTACTGAGCTATAACAAGAACTATACTCCAGTCTGAATAAGGTGAAGATGATGATGTGGGATAACTGACCTTCAATGAGCTTGGCTAGGGAATCAAGCAGGACATGATGTCGATCAATGGGCTTATTGATTCGTCGCCACTGTGGATAATACATCTCTACCTCAAAACCACCACCTCGAGACTGAAATGTGATGGGACAAAATGAGAACTTGACATTAAGAAAATTTACACATAAAAACTGAGCATTACAGAATACTTTACATTCCATATTCAAAAATATATTTCCTTCTAAAATGAATTGATAATAATTCATAATGTACAGTGCTCTTTACTTATGTAATTGTGGCTAAAGTATCCAGAGTTTCCTGTCAGAGGTCTATACTGAATAAATTATTTTAAACCTTACGTGAAGCTTCAATGCCTAATTCCACTTTCATACTTGGTATGTGGATTATATAACTATCTGTGAAAAGCCATGTTGAATCAGTTTATACAATTCTGAAACTTGCACAAATTTGTTTGCAGATTTCAACAACTTCCTTAACAATCAACACTAGAGTGTAGTCCTCTGGGTTGTTGCACTGTTTAATCTTCTGACTCTATACCAGTGTTTTGCAAGAACATGCTGTTTTCATCAACCCTGAAATGGAGATAGCAAGGTAGTACATAAAGTTTATGTACAATCAGAAGACTACACCCGGAAGAGCAGAAAGTAAACTCACACCACTATAAAAACCTCATATCTTCCAATTAAATTTAAATAATTGCCACCACAACTGAGTCAACAAAACTGAAAAAAAAATTTCTCTAAGACCAGCTGAATTACATGAACCAGTATAATTATAAAGAGAAATTTCAGACTACCATATCTATGCCGTGCTCTATTAGTACACCGCCTTCATCCTATAGCGCTTGTATGAATACCATCACAGGGTGCAACACCATTCTGAGCTATATGAGGAAATATGAGTCATAAGCTTGCATATTCATCAGTATTATTCAAGAAAACTTTTCCCACAACATAATTATTAATTATGTATTTTTTTTATTCCTACGTAGTTTCATCTATGTAAGATTACAAAAGTCTATTTAGTACAATGTTTCCATATTAAATTTCTGTTATTACCTTAGAATGACATGATACTTGATGTTCACTGAACAGTTGATAGTTACATAGTCATTCAAATAATGTTAAATACTCATAACCATAAACACAAAACCCCACCATTCAATTCAGTACATTCCAAACAGCCCTAAAAGGCCACAACAGATATCAGTTCTATTGTCGCCCACACTTTGGTCTCCCAACTAGCTTCATAACTTCATATTTTCTTTAGAAGTATTGCATGCATTTCTATATTCCCAATAGATGACACATGTCAAGGTCATCCTGATTGCTACGATGCTGCTGACACCAGTTGTGTAGGTATAAACATGGTGTATTTACAAGCAGAATGCATGTTCATTCTCAAGCATTACTTCACATTGAAACTGTCTGCCACTGTTTATGAAGTATTTAGCAATGCATATCCTGACATGGAAGTACAAAATAAAACAACAATACACTGACTAATAACAGTTTGAGATACAGGAAGTGTTCATGTGTCTTTGAAAACATCATTGAGAACAACATTGTGGACATCTGCTGTAAAGCTGTTCTTCCTGACAAATAAGAACTAAAAATATGTCATCTGTCTTGATGCCACCAAAGCTTACAAATACTATTGTAGTTAGGGTTGCATTTCAAATGAAACACTACACATTTCTTGCCTGCTCTATGCATGTCATGTCCAACTCTACCTTCTACATTTTGGTTTACCTGATTTTGTAAAGAGTACAAACTACAAAGCTTCTTGTTACGTAATAAAGAAAAATATTGAAAAAGTAGTCTTAAGAGAATCTTGAGATATGATTATGCAGCAGTCATTCCTAAATTCCTTACAGTAAAAGTGTGGGGCATTAAATTATAGAAACAAACTTTTATTTTTTTTATCAAACATTTCTCAAAAGTTTTCAATGCATCTATGAAATGCTTTAAGAACTGAAGGAAATCAGCAGCTATAAAGATATTTATGTCATCAACTAAGTTCAGGATTACATTTCTTTTTGGGTATTTCATAGACATGTATATAATGAAGAATGCATTATGGGCATGTCTTTCCATCTATCAAGAACTGTTTTTTTGTTTGCATCAGACTCTTTCTTAGATTTTAATGACACATGGGAAACTGACAGACCATGATGACAAAATATTAATTTGGTATATATAGCCAATTGGAACTTCCGTTTTATTTGTAAACCTGAATGATACCACTTATGCAATTTCTGAGTAACACATATATTTACATTTAAGGGCTTAGATTAAAATAGGTAAGGAAATAAGACAATTGCTTGCTTCTCCTCTGATTTCTAAGGTTCTAAATGCCACTGATTGCATGTTTATGATTAGGACATGTCCTTGTCACACAACTTACATGCTGACTTTCACTTGTCAGTAACTCACTGATTTTGCTCAGTGAACTTTGTGTAGGTTATTAATTTCTCTTCAATGTTGTTCATGTTCAAATGTTACATCTTTTTTGTGTAAGTGCACTTATATGGTGTCAAGATAGAATTCTGCATAAGTATGTCAACCATCCAAACTGGTTCTGTTCTGTGCGTGGAAAATTAAGTTTATATCTGAAAGGTGAAATTTCACCCATGTTGAAAAAAAAAACACAGAAAACTTTATTTTGGTTGTAAGGCAGGAGATCAGGACAGGGCACCTAAGACATGCTGTATTGTGTGTTTAGACTTCATTTTTGATTTACTCAAACTTAGTGGCTAATGAAAAAACTTTGAGGTAATTTCTAAAATCAGCATTTGAAAACTAAAACATCCAACCATTTCCACACATGTGACAAAAAGTTCTTTTTTATCATACAGCGTAATTATTATGTTGCAAAATTTTTTAGCATGTCTTCAGTGAGATAGTCCAATTTATTTATGGTATATGAATAGTCAAGTAACATATATGTTGTTTAAAGAAAAAAAGATACAGAATTATAACATGGTTTGTGACATATCACCTAAGGGGGCTTCACTATAATAGTAGGAAGACACATAATGGAAGAAACTAAACTACCATATTTACACCCATATTTTTTAAGTTTTAACTATGGAATGAGAAATGTATACATGAGAGGAATTTTTCACGTAGTGGTGTGAGTAGTATTATAATTATTTTTTTCATCATCTATGGTCAGCTTCACCGTCATGACCCCTTTTGGGGTTTTCTTGCGAAAGTACCACGGTGGTTTCACCTTGCCATCCGTGGCCAGTCTTTACCCACCAGACTGGAAGAGGAGACGCGGACATGCCTTGAGTGGGACTCGAACCCACGATCGCAGCGGCCAGGTGCATGAGGACCATGCCTCAGACTGCGTGGCCACTGCATATATAAAAAGCATTACCATTACACTCTTATTGGTAAAACATAGTAATGTAGTACTTTATTGCGATAGGGGCAGAATGGTTATCTTCACTCCTCAGTCAAATCTACTGGCAGTTTCAGTCACAATGCATGGGAATGGTTCAAGGTGTAACACTTGCTTATTTATAAAATTCACGATGAAAGTGAACTAGTTGTATTAAAAGAAACACAGCAAAATTACAAAAGTAAATGCTACTCTGGAATGCAGATTTCAGCTAGAAACTCTGAAGATAATGAAGAAACACTCATTCATTATCTCTTCTTGTCTGTGTTTTTTCATTGGAGAGCTCTCTAATCTGTCTTATTTCATTCTGAAACTGTATTACTTACCAGGCTTTTTGTTTTGAGCATACATGACCATACTGTTTCCCCATATTCCTGTAATTAATTCCATATTTTCATGTGCTGCATGATCCATTGCCTCATTGTAACCTGTTACCTATTCTTGTCGTTATATGTATAATTGGGGTTTAAAATGATTGGAAGGACACTCTAAAGCTCTCCTATTGACAGGAGAGGTAAAACTTTCCTAGATGAAGACCAGTTACACGTGATATGATCAGCATCTAACCAAAGGATAGCCTTTAAGATTCCTAACTGAAGTTAGGTACCCACTGAGGTTGAGGGCAGCCATTTTGGGCAGGGGTAATATTCCAAGTGTCACCACGGGGGTTCAAACCTGCAACTGTCAGGTTTGGTGTCGGATGCTCTACCATCTGTGCTACCCTGCAAAGCAGAATAATGGTGGACCTGATTATGATTAATATACACACTGTTGGCCATTTTTGATTGTCATAGTCCAGTTTGCTTGTATATTAACTAGTGAATATAAGTTTTTTCACAATTTGCATCAAGAATACTTATTTCACAAGCAGTTTTGGATCAAATTATGTAATGGTACCATGCAGAAAGGTCAGGAGAAATATACGACCAGCTGAACATCACAAAACAAGGGGCAAAACACAGAAATCTGCAGGAGACATATAGCTTTGCATCCAGATAATTTTGAATGAGAATATAATTGAAGTGGTTTTGAAGAATGCATGTTTCCAAACATGGAATAAGTGAGGGTACCTGATAAGTTCTTGGGTAGTTTTGGCATGCAACTTCCCAACCCATTCATAATTATTTAAAGCAAAAAACCTGGTAAAGTAAATATGTGAACAATTAGATCAAGTATGAAAAGAAAGACCATTTACTAAGGAGATTTTGTTCACTCTGTGAGGAGATTAAAATAACTGGAGATAGTCCTTCCAACTCTCCTCATTCTTAGCAATAAAGGCATAGCACTTACAAACTACCACTCCGACTGACTGACCATCTCTGAAGGTCCTGTGTCACTAAAACAGAAGCCTGTCACTGGATCAGATCCTTCATCAGTTTAATTCACAGCACTTTGACTGTTTCTCTAACAATATGTAGATCAAGTGAATGCTGGTTAACTTATCATTCAATAGTTTACATCTATTACATTTCTTGCTTCTCCACTTTAGTATCTTTCTCCCACCTTATTCTTTTCAGAGGCTACTTTTAAAGTAGTTTCAATGACAGCATTCAACTTGAATTTTTATTTTGCCCATATCAGAATTTAAAGTAATATTAATATAATAGCTCAAATTAATGTTGTTCTGTATCTGATAAAATGTAGATAATGATATCCTGTTATCCTGAAAAGAAGTGAAAAAGCTGTTTCCTCACAACTATATAAAATAATGAGTGTTTAGGAAAGCAAATGATATGACAGAAGTTTTAAAACTGTACAAAAACAGGCATTTTTCATTTATTTTTCTCATGATGTCATAATTAACCGTTTTTATGTTTCACAGAGTTGTTATCCAGACACTTAAATTTTGAAGCACTGTATTAAGATCTTAAGACTTCCTGATAACTTGTCAATTGTCACTCTGCAGCAATGGTGAATCCTGGTCTAAAATTCAGATCTTGGAGAATTTAGACCACATGACCTGAAGTTACTAAAAGGACTGTATTGCCTCACTCTCACTTTCATCGGGAGACATGAGAGCAGTTCTGGGACCTCTAGATGACTGGTGAATCTATCCACTTTCCTAGCCCGGTGCATAAAAAGCTATGGAATGTTATGGTATATAAAATACACGATTCCAAGCAAAACATTAGAGTATTTATTGAATGGAGATATACACTTTTTGTGTTCAGCTTGTTTTAGCGGTCTGGAGCATTTCACACTGATCTTCAGCCTACTAATGTCTCCATGTTATGAAGTTTGTAGAGTGAACAGACAATATTGTATCAATTAGTGCTTTCCTTTCACATCTTGTCTCATCTGTGGGTACAAAACTGAATTTGCTGTGTATAGCAGCATATCTCAACCACCAAGCACATACAAGGAAAAATAAAGTAAATCACCCATTTAAAACGGTTTAAAAAATGATACAAGTACCTAAACTGACAAATACTAACTTTCTAGGAATGATTGGAGTGACTATTATATAATTTTAAAAGTTCTGCATGCATGGTTATATAATTATACAAATAAGGCATGCATGGTTATACATTTGCAAGCTTGCACAATGAGATGTTTGGTCTCCTCTCAGAATATTAATGTGGTTTTACTTGGTAGATGTCCATGTCACAAAATGCAAGTAAAAATAATTTAATAAGGGATTATCATTTTCTGACCTGTGATGCAGTGCTGTCTTGCAGGCTGTTACCAGCATTTCATAAAAAAGTACTGCCTCAATCTTCAGGGTAGAATAATAACCTTCTATGGTGTCACAACCCAGAAGAACACAATTTTTCAGCCATGAACATCTCAAATCTCAATTTCATAAGTTTCAGAATATGAAATATATTCTTGCACATAAAATTTTATTTGCATGAAAAGTATAAAAATTCTGAAGATCAAACACTGGGGATAAAGATACGTTCTCATCTACGTATTATTTCCTCTGTATCCCATCAAGAGTTGGACTGTTCTTGGGGTTGTCATGACACATTGATTTGATTCATCCGAACACTACTGATCTGACAGACAAAGATTTATTGCCAAACGATATTTTTATAATATGATGACTTTATTGCAGAACAATGTTTTGTTTAAATCTAATTTACAGGCATGAGATATAAAATATAGGTTATGAAGTCTCTCCACTTTGATGTATTTCAGCTTTATTGTAAGGAATTGGGGATGGATTTAAACCCATATACTATGAGGCTGCCAGCCAGACTTTAAACTAGATGGTTTAATTGTTTAGTGGTATGCTGCTGTGACACACAGTCAGCTGGACAGTGTATGTGGTAATCACAGTAAATTAATATTAAAATTTTCTCTCTTGTGAGAAACAAAGTTTTCCAATGTCAGATAGAAATTCCACTTCATTTAAATTCACTATATCATAATCTCTCAGACAAATTAATTTCTCTGGATTTTATGGTATTATTCATGGGAGAAACATAATGTTATATTTGTGACAATGGTGAACAGTAGAGTTTTAATATATCTGAAAACATAAGACATGCCTACCTCCTCAATGAAAAACAATGAGAGCATATTTTTTAACCCTCTGAAGCTGAAGCTCATCTAAATAATATTTTAAAATTAAATTCTTGCCTCAAAGTAAATACAACTTATCTTCATTACAAAGATCAGTTGATTAATGTTGTTTAGGGAAATAATCACTGTTTATTCTGAGAATCATATAAAACCCATAAACATACTCCGTGGGTAAAATGTAGAGGTCCTGAATGTTAAAGCAGGTGGTACACACACTACCCACTGAACTTAAAAAAGGTTAACACACTGTTCTGCTATACACTGCTAGTTATATCTGTCAAAAATGTAATATGAATTATTTTTATTGATAGACTCTAAATTCTATTACTGTTCTGTTTATGTGAGAAATTCTCAAGTGCAACCATCATCTATTTTTATTAATAATACAGAAACAACAGAGTTAATCAGATTTAAAGTGTTTCCATGTTTCTCTTCAATTTTAATTTTCTTTTTGCATATACTGAAGAACCTCAGTAGACATTTAAATGCTCTTTACACATCGAGTGATGATCAACTGTTATAAATATTTTGGAATATGAACATGGAAAGCAAAAGTGAATGTTGCCATAGAAATATTTTTATTGTGAATGCCACTATAACAATTTATTTTTGCATATGAATGTATAATAATCAGTGGTCAATGGTATTGTGTTAATTTCTTTTGTAAACACAGGTATATGTATAATTTTGTTTATCCTCAAAAATGTTCTATGCCTTCTTGTGAATCAAGAAAGAAGATTTATGGTTATCAGGCTATAATTGCACTGATATATCCCTTGAAACCATAATCTTAGGCAGAAAGATAATTCACTCCATCAATTTACTGAAACACCAAGAAATAATGCAACCTGATTTCTATTAGGGAAGTACATGGTTTTCCTTGTTGCTTCTAGATGTGTATCAGTATGGTAATCTGAAGTAGGCCATGGTTCTATCCTCCCCAATTCTTTCAGATTCATGATATTTAATAATCACAGCTACTGCAGTTGATAGATACATTGTATAATAAAAAATTCATAGTAAACAAATGAATAAGATGGAAAGAAATAGGTAAATAATCAAACAGATAAATAAAAAAAACATCAGAAAAGGTGTGGATGGAATGATTTAGGGTCCCAGATTACAGTAGGCCATTCTATTTTAAACTGCAGGCATAATGAGTAACATGAACCATAAGAGTGTCATTAAATAAATGTGTGTTATGTGTGGTGTGGGTTGATAGACACTAGGATAAACTGAATATTTCAAATACATCAAGTACTGTCAGCACAGTGCCCTAGTACCAATCCAGCATAGTCCCATCTGCATACAGGACATCAAACCTCAGGTTACTCAGGTTCTACGATAGCTCCTTACAAGAGTTAAAAATTACAGTGCAGTGGATAAAACTCTTGTTTCACATTAAGGGGGATTGTATTTGAGTCCTGTCACTCAAAAATGAAGTATTCCGAGTGGGGGGGGAGGTTGTTTCTTCAATTATTCCAGTGAATGTGCCCAGCACATTTATCTGGAAGCTACACTATGCTATGCTGTGCTTGCTCTCCTACAAATATTACGAAGTGATTAGTGAGCCAGGTAGCTCAGTCAATATAGTGAATGGCTATGGAATGGGCAATCAAGGTTTGATCCCTGTCATAGGCAGAGGATTTTCCTCTAGCCTCTGAATCCAGACCGGCTCTGGGGCCCACCCATCCTCCTGTACAGTGCGTAACAGGGTCATTTTCTGGGGGTAAAGCGCAGCTGGTACATGCTGCTGATCACTCCCCCCTTCTAGTGCCAAGGTTGTGAATGAATATGAGCTACACCTCTTCTCCCCTAAGAGTCAACATTGGCATGTAATGGGATAGCTTTTACCTGACCTGATCTATGAAAAAGTATTAAGAATGAATCTGTGAAACTTAAGATACTAATTTAACAGCTGTGGCAGGTTAATTTTTTAAAAACCAAGTTCCTTTAGCACATACACATTTGTCCCACAGTTACTGTCAGTGCTGGAAACACCTCTGAAACTTAACTTTTAGAATTGTTAATAATGGCTTCAATGAAATATTTTCATATCATAAAACATTTTGCCTTTATGGTCTTCTTAACTTTAAGAACATAAACAGTCAAAGAGAGCCATATCTAGTGAATTCGGAGGTTACCTCGCTTATAGAATACAGTGTTTAACTAACAATTATCACAAAACCTATGCTCAGTGGGCTGGTGTTACAGCAAATTTGCCATTTTCTGTATCTCCTCTTTTGTAGCTGACATTTAAATACTTGTATCATAAATATAAATGTTGGTTAATATGTGAGATTTGAGGTTCTCATGGTGGGGAAGATGTCAAAGTTGTCCTCTGGGTTATGATACCATGTGGATTCACAGGTAGATACCTATGCAAGTGTCACAACTTTGAACAATAACATCAACATGTTGATTAACAGTCAGACATTGTGGTTCTTATTCATCATGAAAATAATTAAACATCACTTTTGTTTTGCTGTGCTTTACTAATTGATGCATCTCCAAATTCTATCTTTATGAAATGATTAGTTTGTCAACATCTTCCCAGTCTTCTTGAAAAATTTAATGGATACACATTTTTTCTGTCCCCTCAGGCATTGTTAACTGACACAAGATAAAAATACTTTTCACTTCAAACAGTGACCATGAATAATTGATGTAATGGAATGTGCTGACATCACACTTAAGTCTTGATACTTTTTCAAAGATGACGATCTTTGGGTTGCAGCACCATGTACTCTGGTAGACGTTTACAGACATTTCAGAGGTACTTGCTGACTTGTCACCCTGATAATGGAGGCAGCAAGTACATCTGAAACATCAGTAATCTTCTACCAGACTACATGGTGCTAAACCCACAATACTCACTGTTGTGAGAACCAGAAATCCTATTTGATAGTTTTTGATCAGACACACACAGACAGACCTTAGGAGGGAAATAAAATCAGGCTGTTTTCAAATCACTGCCTCTACCCTAAAATATCTTGAGGAATACAGATAGAACAATAAAGCAAGCAGATTCGCACATCTCTGTCAAGGTGCAGGTAAAACACTAAAAGTGGTTTGTGGGGGTATTTGTGCAGTACCTTCAATTTCAGTATTTAGATTGGAGCATACCTTGGCTGTCTGAGCAAGTGTTTGTGTACGGGTGTCAATAATGTACCCACGTTTACCGGGTCCCAGAACAGAGTTGATGAGTCTTTCATCTTCCTTGCATCGTTTGGAATTGGGACCTGTCAGAGGTTGGCTACTCCTCATCAGAACACTCTGAAAACATTCAAACATAATAATTATACTCCTTATTATATTAAATTGTAAATTAAGTCAAAAACTGCACTTTTAAGAATGTTACTGAATATGTAGCAACTGACTATACCAGCAAGTCAGTGCTGTTTCACTTCCCTTTCAAATGCTTGTGGTGATACTCTGACTTCAAATTCAGTGATGTGACTTTCTCTGCATTAAATTTCAAAACAGTTTGTAATACTGGCTATGGAATGGAAGATGAGGTTAAGGATTCTTCTCTTTGCAGTAGGGGCCCATATAGCAGTAACTACATGGAGCTCTTTCTCTTCTTGTTATGTTAATAATGTGAGTGGCTGGAGTGTCAAGCCGAATACTCTCCTCCATCTAATGCCAAGATCTAATATGTATGTAACTTTGTCACCACACCCCTATTGCAGTGCTTAAGCACAAGGAATAACTACGAGGTGCGATCGGAAAGTTTCAAGACTGTGTCAATAGAGGGCGAACCGGATGTAGTACGAGCTTCTGCCGCTAGGGGGTGCGGCCTACATTCATAGTGAATCAGTGTGCCAGCCGGCATCATCGAATTAGCATTTGTTTCTTAGTTACGGGCGGTTTGGTAGTGCATTACACCG